TCCGGTTACTTGCCTCCACTTCATCCATGCCGCAGCGTTGATATACGGTGTTTTTTCTGGAAGATTTTGCTGTTTTTCCTGGATGTTTCTGTGCGCGTCGTCACTTTAAGGTGTTGTTTGTTCATGTTTTTGTTTGTTGCGGGTGCACCTCAAAGTCAAGAGCCACATGCCTCACAGGGCTATACCAAATCAATGAGACTGAAAACTGAAAAAAGGCACGAAATAAATGTTAACTACAATTAAATACATTTTTCTGTTTGTTTTCTTGCATGTGCCACTTTTGGAGAGCTAAATGTCAATGTTCAGGTCTGCTGGCAACGAAAGGGCTTCAGGAAAAAGCTTATGCAAGTCCTGTTATTCCTCCATTAAAGAGACGGAGACCACACTGGCTTATTATGTGGTCCATCATTTGGGTTCACAGTTCCATTGCTTATTTAGAATTACAGTTTTTATTCTCCAAAACAAGTTTCATTCATACACAAATACTTTTTACATACATAAAACTTTTTTTATTTTCGTATGTCTATAGAGTAGTAGTTATTGACGTCATGTCATGCCCGCTCTCCGGTACGATGTCACGAACGGTGACGTCATGTCTCTCTGAGGTATTTAGGCTGGGACCCGTGACGCGAACAAGGTCGTCAGGAGAGTCCGGGAATGTGAAGGGTGGAAGTCGGGACCTAGGGTAGGGGACATCTAACATGGAGCTCGGAGTGGCTCTTTACCTGACTGACCGAAGTTGGGTTATCCCTCGGCCAGTGCAGTGGGTAAAGTCAGCGTTCCCCCCCCCCCCCCCCGTACTTCACAATGTTCCCCCCCCCCCTACTTCACAATGTTGCCTCCCAGTCCACAACCCGCCCACACACTCACCATGGCCCCTCCCCTCCCTCCATCCCCCTGACTATATAATTCCTCGTCACAGCCATCTCTTAGACACTTAAGCGGCTATGCTTTCGCTACGTTGTCCCCACCTGAAGGACGCTTGTGTTGCACCCGAAACGTCGTGATTTAATTTAGTTGTTTTAATTTATTTTAATATAACGCAAGTTATATTCAAAAAATAGATCAGCCGGTCAATCGGCGCTCGACAATCCTATGCAATAGGCTGCATACACACACACCTCAGCAGCAGCAGCTTGCGAGCGAGGTTACAGCCGCAACCATGGTTTGGGGCCCCACCTACGGGGGGGGGGGGGGGGGGCAGCGACTGCATGTTAACTCACTTCGACCCGTCCTTGCCAATTCAACTTGCATGCGATGCCTCTCCATATGGAGTTGGGGCTGTTTTGTTGCACATCACACCTGCTGGAAAACAAAGGCCCATTGCGTTCGCGTCAAAGACGCTCTGCAAAGCAGAGGTGAAATACCTGCAGATGGAAAAAGCGTTGGGAATTCGGAATCAAAAAGTGTTATTCCTCCTTGTTTGGATGGAGATTCACCTTGCTGACGGACAATCGTCCTCTGACTTCCATATTTGGTCTGTACTCTGGAATACCAACTCTTGCAGGCGAGACTGCAGTGTTGAGCACTCCTCCTGAGTGCTCACAACTAGACATCAAGTTTCCAAGGTCTGAAGAACACACCAACACTGATGGCTTGTCACGACTTCCTCTGCCTGACTGCCTTAAAAGTAGCGAATGGAAGGTTTTCTACTTCGATATGGTAGAGAACACACCTTTGACCGCTCAACAAATCAATAAGGAAACAAAGGGAGATCCAACACTGTCCAGAGTGTTCGACCGAGTGATAGAGTGACCCGCCACGTGTCTCTGATGCGCCGCTTGATCTACGACCTTACCTTTCTCGGGGAAAAGAGTTGACGGTGACTGCGGGATGCCTACTGTAGGGTATGCTTGTCATTATACCGCCAAAGCTGAGGAAACTTGTCCTGGATGAGCTGCACTCTGGACATTGTGGAATCGTCTGGATGAAAGAATTAGCGCATAGCTATTTCTGGTGGCTGGGGCTAGACCAGGTTATTGAAGCCACAGCCAAATCCTGCACTTCATGTAAAATCAACAGAAACATGCCAACCTTGGCCCCACTGCATCCTTGGGATTGGCCAGCGAGCCCGTGGCAGCGTGTTCACCTAGATTTTGCAGGACCAGTGGAAGGAATGATGTTGCTGGTTGCCGATGGCGCCCATTCAAGTGGCCAGAGGTCTCAGTCATGTCCACCGTAACATCGGGGAAGACCTTCGAGATTCTGAGGGAGATGTTTGGATGTCTAGGACTGCCTGAGCAGATAGTCACGGTCAATGGGCCATCTTTTGCATCTAAAGAATGCAGAATTTCCTACAGAACAATGGAATCAAGCACATCCATCTATTAATGGAGTTACAGAGAGAATGGTTCAGACAATCAAACATGCTTTAAAAGCACCCAGAAGGGGGCACCACTGAAGCTGCGACTCGACACTTTCCTGCTCAAGTATAGCAACACTCCGCATGCGATAACTGGAACG